AAAATGAGAATAAAAAATATAATCGTTTAGGCTTCATACACGAGATAAAACGTCAAATATGATGGTTTGATGTGATGGATAACATTCATTTTTTTTATTTTAATGGACAAATAATGAGAAACAAACTGGGACATAATTTTTAACACGTGAAAATTTTGAGATATTTAGCTGATAATGAATGAATACATTACTCTATTCATTTATTAACGTAGATGGTATCATTTAGTTGTTGTGAATTATTATAAATGGTAACAAATTTTTTGTCACGTGGTAAAGATATTTTGAATTTATTACGTTATATAGCTTAACTAAAAGGTTGGTTTAAATTATTGTCAAAAGATAAAATTATTGTATAGAAGAAATATATTAAAGATTATTGTTTAAATTTTTCTTTACGCCAAGTGTATATAATTTAGCAGCCTGTTTGGGAGTAATTTTTTTACCCAAAAATTTGATATTTTGACCGTTATTTCACCATTCTAACTGTCATATTTGAATTATTCTCTCACAGGTGGACCTCACTTTTCTCCTAACAATTAAAAAATCAATTCTCAAAATCACACCCAAACAGGCTCTAGATTGACTTTGCAACGAAAATTGTGTATCAATTACAGATTTACGGTAAAATTAATTAAAATTTTAATTTATTCTTTTCGACATTCATCTTTAAAACTTGGCCCCCGTTTGTTTCCCATTATTTACCAATTAAAATGAAAAATATGATCGTTATTCATCATATCAAGTCATCATATTCGACTTTCTATTTCTTGTGCGGAGGCCGTAATGACTATATTTTTCATTCTCATTTTTACATTAATATATATCAAACGGGACTTTGGTTAACTTTGTAAATATATCCAAATTTAAAAGTGTAAAAAATTTAAATATAAGTTGACATATGAACCTTTAAATAAAAATGTATATAGCTTTAAAAATTTTGTGATCTCGCTCATCATTCTAAGTCCTTGTTTGGTATGTTAAAAATTAAATTTTTAGTATATTTTGATAAAAAAAATAATAAAATATATGGTTAAAAAATTGATAAAAATCGTGGATACCATGAAATATATTGTTAAAAATGAATTTTAAAAAATAAGTTAAAAAAATAATACTATTTAATCTCACTGAAATTGCAACCTAATCTAGGTGGTGTTAATGGACATTAATTGATAAGCGGAATTAAATAACTTATTTAATTTCACATTTTATTTAACCTATCATCTAATGCCACCTAGATTGGGATTACAATTTCAATGGGACTACAAATCATTACTCTTTAGAAAACGAAGGTAGATAAAGACCAAGCCCGTGGTTGATTTGCCGTTTTCGGCCCATTTTTCGTTTTCCGTTTTTGAAAATGCGGAAAACACGTTTGGTCCATCATTTTCGAAAACGAGTTAAAATTTATAACTGAAAACGCAAAACGAGTTTTTTATCGTTTTCAGTTATAAATGTCGAAAACGCTTAAAACGCGGAAAACGGGTCATTTTCGGGGAAAACTAAAAATCGTTTTGAAAATGAAAATGGAAAATGAAAATGCAAATCAACCACTACCTAACTTTTTCCAGTTGATTTTCTTTTATTTTTCAACTATTTAGATATTTCAGTTTATGAAATTTTAAAAACTAAATACTGTAAAGCAACAAACAAAGCATAAATAAAGTGTTTCCTTTCGCCTCTAAAAGCTCCCTTCTTTTTCAATACCCAAAAAGAAAAAAAAAATATTCCCTCCTATTTTTTTATTCTTACAATAATATCTAAAGCTCTCGACGAATTAACAAAATTGAAAAATAACATAAATATAAAATGAAAAGGGTGTTTTGGTAAATTCAAAGTCGTCGAGGGGAGTTTACAGGAAATTAATGTAGTGGGCCAACCCACTAGACCCCACATGTCTGTGTCCCATTATTTATACATACAATTTGATGTGTCTATATTGTATTTATATCTGTATCTAATTATCTATCTCTATAATTCTATAAGATAACCTAATAATTTTAATAATTTAATGAATTATACGTTTCCCGCCATAACTGAGCAGCATGGGCCGTCGATCCAGCACGAGAGCAATATGAGCGTTTAGATCATTTCTACGTACATCTGTCCATTGGATTGAATTCCTTCACATTTAATTGAAGTTATTATTTAATGTCACATGATATTTCAACCTTAGTGCTACTAAATAGCATTGTTTAAAAAAAAAAAAGAAAAAAAAAAGAAGGCCAATCACAAACTTGAAAGAGCAACAATTTTGTAAATGACAACGTAAGTAAAGCAATTTTGAGTTTGTCTGGAAGGATGTAGGAATGGGAAAGCAATGTCGTCCCAACAAGAAACGAATTTATAATCATAGAATTTACTTGAAATTATTTTGAATGGATTTATTTCAGTAGATAAAAGTGTTGACCAATTAAAAATTAAAACCAAATTTGACATGATTAACGTGTGGGTAGTATCCAATAGAATTGACGATTTGGCCAGTTTATTTAAAAAAGAAAAGGTAAAATATAAAAAAGATGATAGGTTCTCTTTAAAGTAATTTAAACATGGAACACATTGTGTTACGCACATTCTGTCGTCGACTTCTATCGTCCTGTCATCACCATTATCTTCACATTATCGATCCCATTGTCTATTTCCACTGTTATTGTTGCTCTCTAGAAGAGTCACCACAACACCCAAAAATAAATAAATAAATCACCAATTCTACTGCTAAAATAATCACCACTACCTATTCTCACTAATACTAACCACCATTTGCTATCATAAGAATCCGCCATTAAATTTTGTACCCCTAATAACTCCATGCCCCTATCGTTGCTATCGACACTCCATTCACCATCGTCATCACCACCATCCAACATATGGGCAAGTTAACATACATCCATTAATGGTGAAAATCAGGTGTTTTTCATAAACATAATTATTTGGGTGTTTGGTTGGTTGGTGACAAAAATGGCGAAATTCCTTTTATTTCTTTTTTGAAAGTGTGTGCTAATGTCCATTTCGTGTATGGATTTATGAAAACGGAACAGCTTTTACTTCCTATAAACTTGACGAATTTTGAGGCTAATCGCGTAGGTGCTATTTAGTCATTTTCTTGTTTAAAACATTCTTAGACATATAATATGAAGCAAAGACGCGACACACAAGACTTTTTGAAAATGAAAGTACTCATACGTGGAAAAGCGTGTTTCTTGATCATTATTCAAGTGAGTCAGCCCAACTTAAAAATTGTTACCTCAACACCTGAGATATATTTCAAATCTCCTCTCTCCATGCTCCATTACTATTTTCATGTTCGTATTCAATTACTCGGTACTTTATTTAATTTCTTGGAGTTTTCAGAGTGAGATGATTTATTGTAATGAAGTCAAAAATGGAATGATTGTCCTTCATTAAAATATACTAGTGGAGTTAAGAGCTTAATGGGCCATGGGCTCGAAATAAGTTTTGGATCAATTCAACATTGGGCCGAGCATAGCACAACCCAATCAACTTTCTCAACAACAAACCAGCCCAGCCTGAACCTTGCATTACCCGGTTAATCGGAACCAGGTTATCAGGGCGAGTCCGGGTCAAAATCCCTTGAAACACGGGCCCTTTCATGATAGTTCTATTTTATTGAATAATAAAATTTATGGAATAAAATGTCATAACAAATTTTTAAGAGTTTCTATTTTGAGAAACAATTTCTCAAAATGACAAACTAAACATGTTTTTGCAATCTTAAAATAAACCATCAAAATAAAAAACTGAAAATTGAAACGCAAATTAAATGGTCCTTAACTTTTAAGACGATGGTATCTTCTTCTTATCTTTCCTTCACACTGAAATAACTACCTACGTGACATCACTTAATCGGTAGATATGTTTTTTTTTTTTTAATGCCAAATAAAAGAGAAAGTGTTATAAATAAGTGTATAGTACTTGAACATTTTACAAAATGTTGAATAAAAAAAATATACATATGAAGAAAGACCCAACCACATGTGAATTTTGAATCTTATTTCTTAGTTTTTACAATATAATTTACGATGGTAATGTTGATTACTCATATTGGATTTGTTTGAGTCCAATTTTTTGGGAATATATATATATATATATATAATTGTAATTTTTTAGAGAATACATGATTAAAAAATAGATAAAATTATATGTAATATTAAATGGTTAAAATTAATTACGAGTAAAAAATGATCGATCAGTCATTAATTTAATGACCTGAAAATAAAAATTCATAGCAGCAAAATAACAAGTCGATAATAGTAACGAAAAAAATACAAAAAAATGACATGAACTAAATAGAAAAAAATTGGAATCTAAAATGATACAAATAACATATTTAATTACAATTACTGGGTTACAAGAATTTGAAAAAAATATATACACGTGTCGTTTAATTGGTTAATTATCTTTAAGCAAATTCATATTGGTTGGAATCAAATGTTAATCATAAGTCTAATAATAAGGACGAAACTTGATTTATAAAAAGTAAATTCAAACTGTTCCCAGCAAGTCGTTGTAGTATAGTGGTAAGTATTCCCGCCTGTCACGCGGGTGACCCGGGTTCGATCCCCGGCAACGGCGCTTCTTTTTTCCTCATTTGTTCTTCTTTTTGTGGGTTTTCATCACCTTCATGTTCCAGCATACAAAATCGAAGAACCATCAAACCAAAAATGAAAAACTAGACCTTATTTTCATTAAGCTTGAATTTCAGAAAATTAACACGACAAACAAGCGTGAAAAGTAAAAATTTCGAAATTGCATATGAACACAGAACTTGCATAAAATATAAAGAGCAATGCAATGCTATTCCATCTTATACTTGAATTTCGGTAAAGTGTTACAACGAGCAAACAAAAAAATAAAAATTTCGAAACCCCAGTTTATAAATTGCACAAAATCTGCACAGCAAATGCAGTTTTGTTGCTCATTGTCCCAAAAAATTGAAATGCTATTCCTCCTTATACACAAGCACATCACCTAAAATCCAAGAATTGTTACAGAACACTGAACCGTTACAAAACACTAAACTGTATTCTCTGTAAACTCGGATTCAGGATATTGTTACAACAAACAAACAAGAAAGTTCAAGAATTATTAGCATCATTCTAGTTCTGCCTATAAGCAATGTAATCAGCCAAAGCAATCAATGGAGCCACCTTGTCCGAATCAAACTCAGCTAATTGTTCTTTAGCCTCCTCATTCAATTTCTCAGCAAATTCCCTAGCCTGATCCAATCCCAACAATTTGGGATAAGTTGCCTTATCGGCCACCAAATCTTTTCCTGCAGTTTTTCCCAATTCTTCTGAGGATTTCGTCACATCCAATATATCATCGACAACTTGGAACAACAATCCAATTTTCCTTGCAAATATTCTTAATTTTTCAACTTGATCATCAGTTCCACCCCCAAGAATTGCCCCCAAAACAACTGATGCTTCTAATAAAGCAGCAGTTTTGTGAATGTGAATGAATTCTAATTGAGGCAATCCAACATTTGTATTGTTACCAGTACAGCTTAAATCCACAACTTGCCCTGCCACCAGTCCTTCGGTGCCAATGGCCTTGGCCAACTCTCCCACGGCAGCCAGAACCCGATTTGGTGGGACCCTATTGACGGCAGTGACCATAAATTCGAAGGCGAAAGCCAATAAGGAATCGCCTGCAAGAACTGCCACATCCTCGCCGAATACCTTATGGTTAGTTGGCTTTCCACGGCGAAGATCATCGTTATCCATACAGGGCAAATCATCGTGAATAAGTGACATAGTATGGATCATTTCCACCGCGCAGGCAGCAGGTATGGCGGCGGACTTGTGGCCTCCCACCAGCTCACAGGCGGCGATACATAACATCGGGCGCACCCTCTTGCCACCTGCCAACAAAGAATACCGCATTGCTTCGTGGATCTCTGGCGGGTTCTTTACCGAAACTGCTTCATCCAATGCCTTGTTCACATAATCGGCCTTTTCAATCATATATTCCTTGAAATTGAAGGTGGGTTGCTCCTTCTGGGTCTCAATTGTTTCTTCTTCTTTGGTGATGATGGCTGATGCAGTGAATGAAGAAATGGGCCTCTTTTGTTTGAGCGATTTCTTTTCGAATTTGGGATTTTTGATTGCAGGATTGTAGATAAGGCCAATGAAGTTGAAGGATTTATATGGGTATGGACGGTAGAAGATTGAGCAAGTTTGAACACATGAATCCATAAGATTCATAGATCTCATCTTCTTGATCTCTGGGCTACAATCAGGAAAAAGAAAACAGATCTAAATATCAAAGATCCTGTATAGAAAAGATTAGTTCAGTAACTTTTTAAGGTGCAAATCTGAGAAAGAAAGTAACAGGGACATATCAGACGAGTAGATAGGGTTTTGGATGAGAAGCACTTGCACAAATTGCCCTCGAAGAGGAGAGCTGGATCCTTGTTGGGGTTCGGAGGTGGGGGTTCATCCATATTGCTAATTAACAATTGGGCTGATATGTCAAAATTATCGAACCGTTTCGGCTCTTTTTCTAAAATTTATTTTTCTTCACCCTTATTTTCAATCATATTTTTATCAAAATTTATATATATTTTTTATCAATTCTTATCAGAATATATTAAAAATATGATTTTAACCAAATCAAACATGGAGTTAATCTTTGAAGAGGAACCATTCCATGGGGTTTCAATGGCTCAACGACTTCCTTACAAGGAGACAATTCTGACTTCGAGAATGTGGCGTTGAAGCCATGGGAAGGGGAGAGGATTCATGAGGGTGGGATTTGATGATCTTGAGCTCAACTGCGAAGTGGAAACACTCGAATTTAAGTGATTTACCATATTCTAATCAAGAATCATCATCTTTACACGTTAATTACAAGTCTTCTTTTGATACATTCTTGTTGCCCTTGTTTCTAGTACAAATACGTTTTGTTGTCAAAAGGAAGAAGCAGGGGACAAATTTTGAAACCAAAGGTTTTGATGACCATCCCAAATAACCGAGATATATAATTTCTATGATAAAGAAGACAAATTTAGAGTTATATCAGTATTAGTCATACAAATATACACACCAAGCCAATTCCAACAAAGAATTTATAACGCCGAAAAAATGCTAAAATTTTGTTCATATAGCGTCGAAGTCCAGTTAAATACTCCATACCTAACCTGCGCTTACAATTCAAGAAGTTGTGACTCATTGGATGTGCATGTTGCTATCTTCCTTGTAACTTCTGCCTTTTCTAGCTGGGTGTTGAATTTGTTTTGACATTTACGCTACATTCATTGTATCTGAAGCATGTTGTGAGGGATCGTTAACTATCCCAGCTGCTTGCATGAACGAGTACACGATAGAAGGGCCAACTTAGTAGAAGCCCCTCAGCATTAGATCCTTGTTTTTGAGTTCTGATTTTGGTGTTCGAACTAATGCTTGTCGTGAATAACGAAATCCGCGTTTTAAAGGTTTGTGATTCACAAAATGCCAGCAATAGTTACTGAAGGAGCCAAATTCCTTCTTGATCTACAAAAACCAAGGATTTGGATCTGAAAGTGGGGAAAATGCTCATGGTTCATTTTCAACTTTCTGAGAAGAAAATTATGATGTTCTTCACAAGAAAGGCTATCCGCACAAGACTAGACACATGCATATGTTGAAAAACATAGAACATGTGCCACTTTTACCGTCTTAGGGTCAAAGCATTTTGATATTCAACCCTTAGGTCTTTGTGTCAAACCGAATAGTCCGATTCAGATTTATTGGTCACACATAAAAGTGTAAGAGGTTCGAAAAAACTCGGAGTTTGATTTGGGACTGTTACCTTCTGCAGTTTTTTTGCATTCATCACGATTGCACGAAGTTTAGGTTCAGATAGCAATGTATTACCATTCATTTTTATTGACATCAACATCTTCTCATTAATCAAATTCATCAAAAAACTTTCTACAAAAGCAATTTATTTATGATTCATGATATCAAACACAAGAAAAAGATGCACAAAGGGGGGAGCCAAAGTTAATAGAGATACTGAACCCAAATATTTCTATCTTTCTAAGGATCGCTGGCCTCTCAAAAAGCTTCATATCATCCAGTACAGGGACTCCCCATTCCTCATCATGGAAAGAAGTATAAAGTGGTTCTGCACAATTAAATATCAAAATAAGAAAGTAGTTCTTATGAGGTATTTAAGCTACAAGCAATATTAATTGTGTTACATTTCTTTTTCTTTGCAATATTGATTCTTTAGATGTAAGAATTTAGTTCTATATTTCACAGCATTTCGAAATGTCTTGTGTTGGACTTGGAGGGATTGTAATGAATGAAATTAATGACACAACGAGAAGTAATAAAGATCACAACAAGAAACAAGATTAAAAGTAAAGAAGAACAAAGATAGTTAATTTCAGAGGAACAATGTATATTAATTGACAATATGAAGAGAAATTATAGACACGGCAATAATGCGTAAACAAAATTGACAGAGAAGCCTTGTATTTATTGGCCATGTTCCAAACCCTAGAAGAGTTCTAAAAGGTAAGAAAATCTGTTAAAATTATGTTACAATTACGCATAGAATTTCGATCGAGAGAGGATTTCCTTTTCTTATTCAACTTGAATATAATCTTCATTTCCAAGTAAAAATCAAATACGCAATCTCACAAGACTCTTAATCATATTTGAGTCACAAAATCTAACAATCTCCACCTTGACTTAAATTCCGGTGCAACGAGTGGAGCTTCAAAAAATTTCTCCACCTGAGAAATAAACTCGTTTGCATCGAAATGAAAGGTCCAATCTCGTCAACGCAGTAACCAAAACTCTCCAACCATCATCTTCTGTACGGCGTCCACAAGCGACACTTGAACCTAGGAGTGGGAACGGTCCGATTCGGTCCGGCTCCAAAGGGAACCGAACCAAACCGAATACCAATGGAAATTTTAGAAATGGAACCATGGAACGAAACCAAACCGATCGATTTCAGTTCTGTACGGTCCAATTCTTTACATTGAAAATGTTAAAACAAAATATTTACTAATAAAAAATCTAAAGATGCTACCAACGTAATAATTTTAACAAAATATAGAATGACCGAACATACTATTCAAAGATTAAATTGAAAAACAATATCCAAATAATATAAACTACTATTATCAAGCAATCATTAACTTATATAAACTACATAGTATTTCAATGATTAAACAAACTTCCATCAAAATCAAAATCCTACATTAAATTGGACACCCTTTGAAAATTTATTGTAACTTCTGGTTCTGTCGGTTATAATTTATAGAAATTTAAATGAAAAGTTTGGATCGGATCAACAACTATGTAATCAAAGTGAAAATAAAATAAAAATTTCGCATCTTAAAAATAAAATTATATATTGTAAATAAATTTATTTTGGTATAGATTTACCCAATATTCTAATTTGGCTTGAGAATCAATTAATCAAAAATTATAAGAAGAGAGAATCAAAGAGAAAAATGAAAATGCTGGAGTCTAAAATGAAGAAGGAACCCAATTCTTTTTTTTTTTTATAAAAGTGGTTAGAGATTAAGTCATATATTTTACCAAAAAAAAGAAAAAAATAAAAGATCCTATGAGAACCGTCCGGTTCCCTATGGTTCCCATAGTAGAACTAAGAGTCAGATCGGAACTAGTTGGTTCTTAATAATTTGTCCCAAAATCAAATCGTTTTTTAGAAGATTCGAAATCAAATCGGTCGGTTCTAAACGGTTCCGAGAAAAAATGTCCACTCCTACATGAACCCTACTTTCGGATTCCCAAAATTTCACCAAGGAATTAATGTTTACCAAACAAAGTCAAAGCACACTTTGGAGCAAAAAGCATATAAAATGCCTAAGCAGAAGGCCACTTCTAGAACCGTCGCCTTCAACGTCTCTAAAAGCACTACATACATCAGTGACACCACGGTACCTACGCTCAATGGATCCAACTCGAGCAACTAAACATAGTGCAACCACTAAAATTGGTGGCAAAGCGAAATCACTAACGCTTCCTCGATCAATGTTCTAAATCGACCCAAAGCCCATCACAAGAGGTATTGTACAAAACTGAATATCCATCACGGTACTGCACTTGTCCAGATGTCTCTTAACTGGTTCTGCGCTCCCCTACAAGATGTAAAATTGAGACTTTCTCCGTCCCTCTAGTACAAATCGGACACCCTCTCGAAGTTTCAAAACTCCACTTCCACCTCCACATCTACCAGAGAATTTATACCTTTTTAATCGGAGTACTAAGCGGTATGATATTCATTTTTAGGTCCGGAACATGTCGAACCTGATTAATTGTTCTGATTGTCCCATCCCACAGCCTAAATCTGACTCGACCTTTTCCGGCAATACAACAAGACTGGTTGTTTCCCATTACAATTCCACCTTACTGAACAGCCTCATATGTCTGAAAGAAATTCCGATTGGAACATATATGATGCGAACATGCCGAATTGAGAATTCACTCCTCGTCAAGCTTAGATTCCAAGTCAGATACCATGGTCAACATCACATCTCCGCCATCTAAGAAATCATCAACTACATTTGTTTCATCTGAAGTTAAAGGTCGTGCTCTATGATTTGCAGCTAAATCAGCTTTACCCTACAACTTGTCGCAATCCTTTCGAATGTGTCCTTTACGTCTGCAGTGGAATTAAAACAAATTGTTGTTGTTCTTCGATCTTTCCCTCCGTCGACCACCATAAGATGCAAGAGCTTCTTCATCCTTCGATGCAGCTCAAACCAAATGCTTCAACTTCTCCTTTGAGTGCAAAGCATCATAGACGTTATGAATTGTCCATCTAATCCATTAAGAGGTGAATCTTAACTAGACAGTAGTCTACCAACTAATGCTGAAGTTGTTTCTGAAGATCATGTGTATGGCATCTCCAAAGATTGGAAACTTTCCATTAGATAATAATCAAATGTTGAAGAAATCTATAATCATGGTTCAAATATGTATTTTCAGATTGATCTTGCTTTCATTTTTGGCAGCTCAAAATCAGCCTAATTTTCCAATAGAAATGTCGAAACATAAACCCCCAATGTATTGTGAGAAGCTGAAGTACAACTCTCAACATCTTGAGCACTAGGGGTAGACTCGAAACTTTTATGTTGTGGGGTCGAAAATTAAAGTTAATATGTATTTTGATACTTTGAAAACATCTTATAATTATATCATTATCAATATTGTTAAATGAATTTTGCTACTTGCATAGTTTTGCTTACCGTTTTATTGACAGATGTTGAGCTGATGGTAAGTAAATCAAATTGAATGTAGAAAGTAAATGAATTGAAATAAAATTCACATTTAATCTAGAAAGTAAATGAAATTTAATTTTAATGCAAAAGTAATTCAAATTACATTTAATTTGTAACGACCTAAAATTTTTGACTTCATAGTTCACGTAAAATTTTCCAATAAAATGATGTAAATTATATTGAAAAATTTGTCGTGC